TTTAGAGACAAAAATTTTGACATTTAACCAATTTATTTTGCAGATAATAAGGTCCTTCGTGTTTTATCTTCTTAATTGTACATCTTTTCCTTACTAGTTACTCAGATTTTTCAGTGCTCCAGATTTACCCTTCACTTTGGAATTCAACGAAGCATCAATGGAGAAATCTGGGTATGGCCGAGATGGAATTTTCCGATCCCTCAGGCCTCCTCTGAAGCTTCCCAGGGACCCAAATCTTTCCTTAGTTTCCTTCCTCCTCAACAACACTTCTACTTTCCCCGACAAACCGGCGCTCATCGATGCGGATGCTGGTGAGTCTCTTTCCTTCTCTCAAATGAAATCCATCATCATCAAGCTTTCCCATGCCTTTCTCCGTCTGGGTATTAAGAAAAACGAGGTCGTCCTCATCTTCGCCCCCAATTCAATCCAGTTCCCTCTCTGCTTCTTCGCCATCACCGCCATTGGTGCCATTGCCACCACCGCAAACCCCATTTACACAGCCAATGAACTTTCCAAGCAGATCAATGATTCTGCTCCGAAGCTTATAGTCACCGTTCCTGAATTAGTTGACAAGATTAATGATTTCAATCTCCCTGTTGTTTTCTTGGGATCTAAAACCCATCAGGAACCCTCCCGAGTCAAACCCAATGAAAAGGTTCTTCATTTTCAGGACCTCCTTGATTTACCCGGCAAGGTAACGGAATTGCCCGTGGCTTTGGTCAAGCAGAATGATACGGCGGTGCTACTGTACTCTTCGGGCACCACAGGGACCAGCAAGGGCGTTATTCTCACACATGGGAACTGCATCGCTGCTTCGTTAATGATGACTACAGATCAAAAGATTGTCGGGGACATGCACCGGGTTTTCTTGTGCGTGTTGCCCATGTTTCACGTCTTTGGATTGGCAATCATACTGTATTCACAGCTGCAGACAGGGAATGCTGTGGTTTCCCTGAGAAAGTTCGATTTTGAGATGCTGTTGAGGTGCGTGGAGAAGTATAAAGTCACTCATCTGTGGGTTGTGCCACCCATTATACTAGCCTTGGCTAAGCAGAGTGTTGTGAAGAAGTTTGATCTTTCTTCATTGAGGCATATTGGGTCTGGTGCAGCTCCTCTGGGGAAGGAGCTGATGGAGGAGTGTGCTAAGAATTTTCCTCAGGCTGTCGTTCAGCAGGTACTCAATTATTCCATTCTTATAATCAAATATTTGCTATTGCTGACCTGAATGTCTAGTCTAGAGCCTAGAGGGTATGCATCTTTTTCAAAAATTGTTTTAGGAGGTCCTTAGATAGGAAATAAGGATAAGTATTAGAAATGAGTACCCGTTTTGCAGTCCAGACACAGTTTTTCGATTAGCAATATATAAAATTCTTGTGATAGAAAGAAACATTGCTCCTGATAGCGTTTAATGTCTGAATTTGTTGATGTAAATGGTGAAGACGAAAATAGCTGCTGTTTTTGGAGTGTAAAATGGTTTGCGATTCTTATATATTGCTTATTTGGGGATTTTGAAATATGTTACAAGTCATGCCTTTGGAAAGTAGCTTGGATTGGAAAATTTGGCGTCTTATTTAACATTGAACAAGCTCTGTGTGATTTCAGGGCTATGGTATGACTGAAACCAGTGGCATTGTTTCGGTAGAGAGTCCCATGTTTGCTGTTCGGCATTCTGGTTCAGCTGGAACACTTGTTTCAGGAGTTGAAGCCCAAATAGTTAGTGTAGACACTCTAAAGCCTCTTCCTCCTAACCAGTTGGGGGAAATATGGGTGCGGGGACCAAATATGATGAAAGGTATGGTTGTTTCTTAGTTCCTTGAGTTCTATCTTTGTGTCTGGATCTAGATGGTTTAGAAATGAATGTTCATTTTGTTTTGGCAAAGATCACTTGCTGGTATAAAAGAAAGGACCATTTACATATGACTTTCAATGCAGTGTGCTTATGTGCATTACTTTTTGGTATAAAAGATTTGTCCATGTACACATGACTATACTGCAGTGTGCTTATGTCTTTATAAAGTCTCATCTTTTAAAGTTTGTGATTTCTCTGCAAATAGCTCGGATTCCCATAGCATTTTTGGAACAAGAATGATAATCTCAATAATCATTTTCAGGGTATTTCAACAATCCACAGGCGACAGAACTAACAATAGACAAAAATGGCTGGGTGCACACTGGAGATCTTGGGTATTTTGATGGGGATGGGCAACTCTATGTTGTTGACAGAATTAAGGAGCTCATCAAGTACAAAGGTTTTCAGGTAATCTGGTCTCTGACTAAGATTATACTCTTATCCTCTATGTTCTATCTTTCACCATATATCCTGTGCAAGAAAATCTTATTTTGTGGTAAAATGATGAGGATTTCATTATGTCTTTTCTGTTTTATGTTAGGTTGATTATGACTGATGTAAAAAAATGGATGCAATTTTTATGTATATGTACAATGGTAAAATGAACTGAGTGTACCTCAGTTTAGGATGAACAGCATGATCTGAACTGACCTATATTTATATGCTGTTTAAATTGTTACCAGGTTGCACCAGCAGAGTTAGAAGGACTGTTGGTTTCTCACCCTGAAATTGTAGATGCTGTTGTCATCCCGTAATTGCTTGCATCATTTAACTCAGAGGAAATTGAATATTTTTTTCATAGAATCCTGTTCTATACAACACACCATTAATTTTTAAACTTGAATTCTTTCTGCACTGTAGATATCCTGATGCTGAAGCTGGTGAGGTCCCAGCTGCATATGTGGTTCGATCTCCCAACAGTTCCCTGACTGAAGAAGATGTTCAAAGGTTTATTGCTAAGCAGGTAAGGTGTAGAAACACAATGGTAGGGTTTCTCTACACTGAAACCGCCAACAATTTTTTTTTTTCCTGGGACCTGCAGGTAGCACCTTTCAAGAGACTGAGGAGGGTGACTTTCATAAACAGCGTTCCAAAGTCGGCTTCTGGAAAAATTCTCCGGAGAGAACTAATTGCAAAAGTAAGATCCAAAATATGAGGTTCTGCCATTATCCCTCCTGCTTTCGGCTAAATGCTTGAGACGATGGATGACACCAGGTTGGACTCAAACGGTCGACCTTACGCTTGATATTTTCATTACAAATATTAATCATGATGCTAAACCTTAAATAATCCTAAATGCTCTGTAGCCTCGATTAAATGTTCCATAGGAATCTGGCCACCTCCAGTTCAACATCAACAGAATAAGAATTTGAGATGATAAGTTTCATGTTCAAATATTGAAATAAATGTAAGAGAATTTGAAAAAATATATAAAGACTATCGTTGTTATATGTTCTATCTGAAATCATCACTTTTGTTAAAGAAATTACACATGAAGTATCCCTCCACGCTGTAAGTGTCAGCACTGCCTGTAATATGGAACTTTATATGATGGACAATTAGATGCCGGGTTAACATTTTAAAGCAAAGGGAATTTGATGCAATTTTCAAGATTTTGTTTGTGTTTTAAAAAACAAGTCGTGTGTAGTTCAAAATTGTCTGGATTACATAATTTAAGTTATTAAATTTAAAGTAACTTCTATAATATTAGAAACTATTCTCTCGATTAATAGTTTATCAAAAATTACACTGCATAATAAAAACTAAGAGAGGGAAATGAGCCAATGATCTACTTTAAATAGCTTAATAGATATCTCTCATCATTAGAGATAAAAATATTAAATTTAAATCAAATTTAAATTATGTAACATATGGGGTGAGGATATTAAAGGAAAGAGAAAAAACTAATTGCCTACAATTGTAAAAAAAAAAAAAAAATGAAATGAAAAGAAAAGGAGGGAAATAAGATTTGACTTAGACCGTTAATGGTCAAGCAGGTCAATCACAAATGGGTCTTATTTGGGCACGTGCTTAATGACACCGATAGTTCCAAATGCAAATACTCGTCTCAAACTCAAATACGCAAAAGTCCCAATTGGACCCACAAAGAGAAAAATGTTTTTGAGGCAAGGACTTCGCTCTCAGGTAGAGAAATAAATAACATCATGTATGTATGTGCACCATCCACATCATCATCAATCATCATCAATCATCATCACCAATTCACCATCAAACACTCTGCATCACTCCATCTGCTGCCCCTCTCCCCCCATCACTCTCTATAAATACCGTCTCCTCACCACCATTTTTCTCTTCAATTCCAATTCCTGCTCCTCTGAAGAAAACCGCAGAAGGCACCATGGGTCAGGTCAGTTGCCATACCCACAACCTCCATTTTCCACTTTCTCCTCATTTTCTTCCCTGTTTCATCTCCGATTTAACGTTTTTTCTGGGTTTCTTTGCTTTTGGATGTTGCAGAAGAACGACAAAGGAGGAAAGGGGAAGAACGGGAAGGAGAAGCAGTCTTCGACGGTTGTTTTGAAGGTGGATTTTCATTGTGATGGTTGCGCCTCCAAAATCGAAAATATCCTCAACGGTTTGAAAGGTGCTTGTTATGGACTTCTTCGTATTTTTTTCTACTGCTTTTTTTGTCCTGGGTTTTGTGTCTTTCTTCATTTTCCAATTCAGATTCTGCAACGATTTTTCTTCATTTTTCTCGTCTCTGTTTTCTGGTTTTACTTTCCCTCCATAGATTCAGATTTTGCAGTGTTTTCTTTGTTCTCTACTCTCCTATTCAATGCCTCTTTTTTCCTTTTCTTACATGGACGAAAGGAGAAGCAAAACTTGACGGTTACTCTGTTTTTCTCATTTCAGGAGTTGAGAGTGTGCAAATTGACCCCAGCGCGAACAAAGTGACGGTGGTCGGAGCTGTGGATCCGGCAGCGCTTCGGAAGAAACTGAATCAGAAAACGAAGAAGCAAGTCGACATCATTTCTCCCCAACCCAAGAAAGACAACTTAGAGAAGGAGAAAAAACCAGAGAAGGAGAAAAAACCAGCTGATGATAAGAAGAAAGAGGTGATTTCCGATTCCTAGCAACATTTTTTTCTTTAAATTTGCGCCATTAAACCGTATCGGTTACATTGCTTTCAAATCAATTTCTCTGTCCAATTTATTGACTTCCTTGCTGTTCAAGTTAATTTGTAATTGATGTTTTATGGGTTTTTATTGGATTATATAAATTTTTTAATTATTTGTTCAGACTCCGGCGAAGACGGTGGTGTTGAAGCTGCAGCTGCACTGTCAGGGCTGCATCGACAATATTCGGAAGACAATTTCGAAAACCAAAGGTAAGCGTCTCATTGCGGCAGCAGCCACTCCGTTCTGTTACAGTCACGGCCTCTGAAAGTTTTTATTTTTTTGTCTTCTAAGTGACTTCTTCTTTAAACCGCGTTACAGGTTTCCACGAGATGTCAATTGACGAGCAGAAGGATCTGGTGACGGTGAAGGGAACGATGGACGTCGAGGGCTTGAGGGAGGCTCTGAAGGAGAAACTGAAAAGACCCGTCGAGATTGTGCCACCGAAGAAAGAGAAGGACGGCGGCAGCAGTGATAAGAATAAAAACAAAGGCAATGGCGGCGATGGAGACGGTGGAAAAGAGGCTGCCCATAACATTGGTGATGTAAGACAGGAGGAGGGCAGACTGCTGTACATGGTTCAACCGGGTTTCCGATGCGGATATCCATTTGAGCAAGGGTATGGGGTGTGTTTCCCCGCATATGGTCTGGGTCCTGGTTTCCCACCATATCCTCCGGCTCCGGTTTGCCCGGTCCTTGTGCATGTGAACCAGATATTCAGTGATGAGAATCCGAATGCATGCTCTATCTTGTAAGGATGAAGATCGAAGAAGAATGGGAAAATACCAAAATTGCAAAAAAAGGAAAAAAAGAAAAAAAGAAGAAGCAAATAAAGAAATAGTATAGGGTTTATGAGGGACTTTTAAAATAGTAATTTTGGGGTCAACTGTAAAGGAGCTCAAATGGCCTTTGTGTCTTTGATTACTTACAGTACTATAATAACCTTGGGATTATGTCCTGATGTTGCGAATGGAATTTTAATGTTTTTCAGTGACAAGTTTGGTATATTTAGCCATTTGGGCAACCTGGGTGTTTATATAGATGTTTGTGAAAATTTCTAGCTGAGCTAGAGTCTACTCTTAGTTTTAGGGAGGCGGTGGCCAATGCATGGAAGGAAAGAAGAGAGGACGAGAATGAGGCCAAATTGGCTTTTTCTTGCTGGGTAACCACATGGATGTGGACATGTTTTTGTTTTAATATAGTGAGAGCATGGTGTTTTTCCATCAATGTAATCCGAATTGTGAAAATATTAAAATATTTTTAATAAATTTTATTTAATAACAAAAATATTTGAATTGAAAAAAATATATTTGTATCTAATAATTTATATATTATTATCTTGAAAATTCATCCATGATATATCTAGAACATTCTCAGCCTCTGATTTACAAATTAGAAAATCATGGGTGCCCACCACAGTCCACGTATCAGCACACCATTTCAATGTCACTCATCAATTGGGCTTTTAATGTTGATTATAATGCTGAAGAAAAGAGGTTGAGAATGGGAGGGGAAGGCGGTGGGATCTTACAAAATTGCAACATTATGACAGAATTTGGGGCACATCAACATTTTTGTGTGTGTTTTTATTGGGTTGTGCTGATGATGGGATTGGTTCTTTTGTAGGGGTCTTTGTTTTTTGTCCAGATCTTGTGAAGGGGGAGCATTTGCAGCATTTACTGGAACGTACGCAGGCTCTCTTGCACCATGAAAAAGGTTACTGTGCTTCACTGTTTGTACAGCAACAGCAGCAGCATCACTCCCCCTCCCCCTTTTGCTCCTGTTACCATCGCTTTTATACAGCTGGGAGAAAACTACAAATACTAGAAAAACAAATAAACAAAGTTCAATACAGATGTTACTCTTATTTATTTTCTATTCAATGTTTTTCTTTGAAACATTCATTACTTTCTACCGAATAGACATTTCTTGACTTACCCGAAGTAAAAAAAAAAAAAACATTTCTTGGGTTTTATGTATGGAGTATGGTGGGAGGAGAGGAGGAATCCCCTTCAGTCTTTTTCATTTCATTATGAAATTTATTCATCTAAGTAATGCATTGGAATTTATTTATGATACCAATCCTTCATATTATTTTTGGTTTTATATCACCGCGTGAGAAAATGAATTAGTGTTTGATTATGGCAAAATTTGAACTTCTAACTCTACATTTAATTGAACACATAATTCATTGTAATGTAACTTGAACCTTCTAGGCAATTCATTAACTAGTCTGCTCTACCTATGTGCATGGAAGTGCAGAATCATCATGATGTCGGTGGTGTAATGGAGATGATGCACATCATGGGTGGTGTCCATGGAGTGGATGCATGATAAGAACCTCAGATTTATATCTTTTTGTCTGCCTTTGGGAAAGAAATGGGAAGCTTCCATGGGGGAGTGAGGAAGGAGGGGTGACAAAACAAAAACACTTTTTAGAAAAATCAAATCGAGTTTTTGATTTTGGTATCTTATTAGTAATTTCAGGTTTTATTTGTCTGCTTGGCAGAAAAGTTAGGGAGGGAAAAGAAATTAAGCCTTTTGAAAAAAAGGGAAGAATATTCAATCTACCTGCTAATGCAACCCAACAATTCCTTATCCTGAATTTTGAATAAATTAATCAATGGAATTTCGACCTTAATGAAATTAAATTATGAATAAATTATTTGATTCTTCTTGGTCTGATTATGATGATGGAAGTGTTGTTTTTATTTTTGTATCTTTAATTAAATTTTTTTTTTTAAAATGTTAATGTGAAATATGTGGGATAAGATTCATAAGGAAGCAAGTGATGAGAAAGTTCTTTTGAATGGTCTTTATAAATGTGATGATTGCATGAGCTTAAATCCATGTGAACTCAGGCTAGATCATGTAGAAAGTGGGTTAAAGACGAAAGAGATTAGTCCCCACAAAAATGGGTTTTATTTTTTCTTTTTTCTTTTCTTGCTACATAAGAAATTGAATTGCAAGAGTTACCTTAAGAATTATTGAAGTTAGAGAACTGATTGATACTTGAGAATTCTGGTTTAATTGATAAGAAAGTATATT